GCACCATGACCATGCCGCGCACGTCTACGCTGCTGCCACAGAACGGCGATCCTGCTGCCGTGCTGACAGGCGAAGAAACAAGACGGGTGCCGTATATCTCCTTCAGTGCGAGTGTCGGGAGGAACTCGACGTTCCACAACCTGACAGACGAGAATATCGAGGAGCTCGGAGGTGTCGAGTACCGTGCTCTGACTGCGCTCCTGTGGATTGTGCCCCTAGTAAGTTTCTGCGCTTTGAGTTCCAGCATATGGCTGACAGACGTGTACCTGCAGTACTACTTCGGATTGCTAGCATTTAGCTTCATCATCATCGCTCCATACGCGAACCTAGCACGATGGCGATGGATCTTCCGCATCCCGGAGCAACATCGGAACATCAATCCAATATGGTATATGTCCTATACTTGAGTCTCGGTGTCCCGCTCACTGAGCATGCCAAGGTTCTCGGCTTTTCAAGTAGTCGGTGCTTGGGCCAACACTGGCATGTCCCTGGTAGACCAGAACATGGTGCCGTTCCGCGAGGCATATCCTATGATTACTTTTCTAGTGTTGGACGTATTGGCTGGCAACACGGCTTTCGTGAGTTATGCTTCCCGTGTATAGACCATGACTCACCCAGCAATGCATAGCCAATTTTGTGAGTACAGCGACCTACTCAACAGACTACAAGATCTGATCGCACTGCGTGCGCTCAGCCTTCGATTCTTGATGTTCGTGGTCGCCATTGCACTTGCTGACGACTGTACAGTTGGGTGCTGACCAAGCTGTTGCACCGCGACTCTCGCACCAAAGAAGCGTTGCACTTCCTCTTAGATCACCCCCGCCGATGCTTTATATACCTCTTCCCCGCTAATCAAACGTGGGTCCTGCTTGTTGTCCAGTCCGCCATAGAGTGAGTACCACGTATGCCTACCAAGCAGTGTGTCCGAGCCAGCCTTACTGACTCCAGGTTGACGCACCAAGCGTTGTCCTATGGGTTTTCAACATCGCCTTGGACCTGGGTAACCCTGCAACTGAGAGCATATCGATTGGCACGCGCCTAATCGACGCATTGCTTCAGGCCGCGGCAGTGCGCAGCGCTGGCTTTCAAGCCATCCCCGTGTCAACTGTTGTGCCAGCTGTCCAGTAAGCTCTTCAGTGTATAAGCGAACAGCATTCTAATCGGTCCGCACGATAGAGTTCTCGACGTCATCATGATGTATGTCGCTATTTATCCAATCGCTCTCAGGCAAGTCGAACCGACCCCCTACTTTCATCTCCGCGTCGCCCGGGCAAGTCTGACCCACCATTTTTTGACCCGTCCAAACCGTAGTGTGCGCGCGACCAATGTGTACGAGGAGACCTCACTGGGAATATACGAGCACGTCGAGGAGACGACGTATGGTCTGGATGACAGCCCGGATTCCCGGGTAGAGATCTGGGGTAGATACCTGTGGCAACACGCACGGAGGCAGCTGTCGTTCGATATCTGGTGGCTGGTTCTCTCATTGTTCCTCATATGTATTGTTGAGGTGCGTGTGCAACTGGCGCATCGAAGCTCATAGATTTGTAACTTTATGATCAGCGGACCCCTCTTATGGATACCAGCAAGGCATCATGTTTCAACATTTTTGCGATAAGTATGTACATCACACCAGTTTAGATGATGAACTGACGCAATGCTGACAACGTTCCGCGTAAACTAGTCTTCGAGCTCGTCTCCGCCTACGGCACAGTCGGCCTCTCACTCGGCGTTCCCTACGTGCGTTCTCTCCCACGTCTCTTTCCTACCAACCCTTCATTGAGCGCCGTGAAGGCGAACTACTCCTTCAGCGGCGCCCTTCACACGCTCTCCAAGCTCATCCTCTGTGCGGTCATGATCCGCGGTCGCCACCGTGGACTGCCCGTCGCACTCGATCGGGCAGTCCTCCTTCCCCACGAGTTCGAGAAACGAGAAGACAGTGCAGAGAAGGCTCAAGACCTCCCGGTGGAAGATCTGACTATGTTGTCGGAGAAGCGTCAGCAGTCCGACGCCACTTCGGTAGCACCTGAGAAGGATGGATTGACCGAAGTACTGTCAACCTCCAACCGGGCATCTCGGATACGGACGTTGAACTTTGCGGACGACCAGCCCAAGTACGGAGCAAGGCTCGTGGACGACCATATAGACAACATAACCTCGGACGTACCTAGAAGCCGCATTCATGACATTGACGAAAAGTCTCCCGTTTGACCTCACTCATATACTTGTACTCGTATCGTCTTAGCACCTACATTTTTCTCGTCGCCCGTCGTGGCTTTCCGTACCGTGTATTCATCCGCATTAATAGACGCAGATACCGTGAATAATGGTTATGTATGGCGTTCGAGACCAAAACTGTCAGGGAGGCAAATCGGAGGGTAATTTCAACACTATGCTTAGAGATACAAGCGTATGATAGCTCGATGCGATGAAGGTGGAGACTGCAAACAGCACCGGATGAACGCAACGATACTGGGGAGTGGGAGTCAAGTAGGTAGAGAATACAACCGAGGTGTAGCGTCCAATCCACATTTCCTCAGCCACTATAGGACGAGCAACGCACTGAAAGGGGATGCGCTCTCAAGCGTGACGCGGCGTGCGCGCTCACATCGCGGCCATACCCATACCTTGTAACGTGCCTATCCTCTGGGCGGGCTGGGCGGGCTGGTGCATCTGCGGTTGGTTGAGCTGCAGCGTCTGGCTGGCGGGAGCGAAGGCCGGCTGATTCTTCTCCTCGAGGTCCTGGTAGTGCACGGTCATCTCCTTCCGCGCCTTCTCCCAGTTGTCGGGATCCCAGTAGGAGTAGGTGCCGTGCTCGCCGCCATTGACCTTCTGCGAGGGCGCGGTGCCCGTTTCCTTCGTCAGCCACACGCGCATCTCCTTGTGGTACCGCCAGTTGCGATTGAACCTACTCATCACACAGTACTGTCAACGCACATCAGTGGACATGAGGGAGCAGGACATACAGCTCTTGCGCCGCGATCTCTTGGAGCGCGTCTCGCGGGGAAGAGTAGAACATGAAGAACAGTGTCTCGTCACTGAACGCTTGTGCCTTGGCAGGACCTGGCGGCGGCGGCTGCACGTTGTAACATGCGGGTAGGTGGAAGTCGGGCTCTACTGTATGTGCTGCAGACGAGTCCGCCCACGGTGTGATAAATGCGGAGTAGAGGCTTCTGGACCACGAGACATAAGACGAGCTCGCCCTCAGAGCTACTGCAACGTACCCTTGTGTCTGCATGTCCAGCCCCATCGTCCCCAAGTCCGTCCCAATGGAGAGCAGAGTCTGATCCGGATCTGCGCTCTTAATCATCGCCAGAAGACCTAACAACCCCCACCGATCTGCAGGCGACATGAGGACTTGCTGCGCCGGTGTTTGCGGTACTGCACTGGTCGCATGTGCTGGCCCTTGCGATGGGTGATGCGCGGTGTCGCCACCCGTGGTGCCGTTGCCCACATACGGAGTTTGTTGTGCCGCCAGCGCTTGTACCGTATGTGGCTGCTGCTGTTGCTGTGAGAAGGTGCCGGGCGGTGGCACACCAGGAGGCGCGTTCAGGTGCTGCTGCGTCTGCGTTGTGTGGTTTTGATGGGAACCATTAGGCGCGTTCGATGTCAGCGGTGTCGTCTGCTGTGCGCTAGGATTCGCATTGGGCGAGTTCCATGCCGCAGCGGCGGCAGCGTGGTTTGTCTGGTTGAGCTTCAGGGCGTAGTTCTGCAAAGGCGTCAGCTGAGCCATAGCGAATCAGTGCTTCCGGACGCACCCGCTGCTTCTCTGCATCAGACTGGGACTGGAACCCTGGATGTACTCCCCTCGCCTGACCCCCTAGGTTGAGCACGCCTGGCTGCTGCTGGCCACTCCCGAGCGACGGCGTGTGACCGCCGACCGTTAATGAGCCCAATAGGCTCTGTCGATGCTGCTGGTCTGCTTGTTGCTGGAACCCGTTGAGTCCAGGTGGATGGCCGTCTGCTGTATGCAACTGCGTTTGTGGCTGCTGAGGCGCGGTTTGACTCTGGCCACCCAGTGCAGGGAAGTCGTCGGGTCCAAAGTTCCGGTCCTGGGTACCTCCTGTGCCCGCTGCTGCCTGTGCACCACTTGACCCCCCACCCATCACACCCGTTCCCGCCTGGCTCGCATAGCTGGTCGCGTTTCTGCTGGACGCTGTATTCGAGTTCGTGGCTGGTGTTGAACCGAGCGCAGGGAAATCGTTGGGATCGAGCCCTACTTCGCTGGCGGACGATACGGACGGCGCCGTCCCTAAGCTTGGCGTAGCTGACTGTGCTAGGTGAGGCGGTAGTGTAGAGGTCGCGCTGGAGGGCTGTGACTGCTGTTGTAAAGGCGTGTGTAGTGCGGTGGAACCCGTATGTTGCGACTGCGATTGCTGGAGACCGCCGGACGCAAAACCGAAGTTGTTTTGCCCGCGCTGCTGGAACAGGTTCGGCGACGGCTGGGGGACAAGGTTCGGCCCTGCTCTGTGATTCTGCAGCGCTGGGTAGCCAGGCATGACATTCCGAGGTGGTATCCCATAGCCTGGATACGGACCGCGGTAGGGGCCGCCGAGTGCGGGATTGGGCGCGAGACTTGGTGGCCGTTGCGGTGGTTGACCTGCACGCGACGTGAACATCTCGACAGGCTCTCGCAAGTGCCAGCTGTTACCTGGGCGGTTCATAGCTTTTGCAGCGGCGAGAAATGGGATGCTGGAGAGGCGGTAGCGGAAGATGGCGGACGAGATGATCGTTCTGAGCCGCTCGCTGTCTCGAGCAGTGGCGGGAAACAGCCTCCAATTACGCGGCTTATTCGCGCAGATAACCACCTACCATGTCCATATATGCTTACATCACAAAAATTACTTATCCCTGTGGAAGCAAAAGCTTGATTTCCCTTGATCATTCAAATATGGTCAACACCCGACGCACTCCGACTGCGCAAGAGAGTGGCGGCGACACGAAAGAATATTTCGTTGCCCACAAAAACGATCTTAGATGATACGCAAGAAGCTGCAAAAAGGCCCTGCCAGGGCTCGAACCTGGGTTGACGGAAGTGATTACGTAATCAGAATCCGCCGTGATAACCGCTACACTACAGAGCCGGTACAGGCGTTTTCAGTTTGTTCACCAAGACCTGTGGCAAAGATTCTTCGCGAACGCTAAAAGCTGGGCCTGCTATCGGAACGAATATACGCCATGCCTTGCCAGTACTTTCCCTGGTGACTTAACAAGAGGCGACATGGAGGTTTGTCTGCTTATTACATAGTGCCTCAAGGTCGCTCACACAATGTAGGTTCTCGACAAACGCTCCGCCCTACTATCTAACTTCGAGGTCCTGACCCTCCTCAGTGAGCTCGAGAGCGACCACCTAGCTCGCACCAAGACCGCGCTGCGCATCAAGAAGGAAGAAGAGGCCGCTGGAAACCTTGCCGCACGGATTCAGCCCCCTACGGACGACATCTGCGAGAACCTGAGGACCATTGAAGTGGAGGCCATCCAGTACCTCTCGGCAGATTATCAGCCCACCACGTTGCACACAGAAGCTGGAATCGTGCAGCTGACGAAGAACCTCGCGGCGTTTGACCTCACCAAAGCAGAGAAACTACAGGTCGTCAACCTTGCGCCGACCGAACCCGTAGAGCTCTATGTTGTATGTAATCAAACAGATACATGCGACCGTATCTAAACGGAAGAGATGCGTAGATTGTAGAAGAACTAGAGGACCGCTTTGGGACCCAGATGGACGACATTCTCGAGACCGTCAGGTCGTCACTGTCAGCCTCGGCGGTTCCACTCACAAAGGGCATCCAAGGTGGTGCACGGGAAAGCGCAGCATTTGGGGCTGAGATTGTCTATACGGAGGACACGGAGATGCAAGAATACGTCGAAGAGGACGGCACCTGGGAGTACGACGCAAACGAGGTTGTGTTCGATGACACCGGCGAGGGGGCCGGCGTGGAAGGCGATCTGGACATTGAGGACAATTGACTCCGATGGTATGTAGCGCGTGTCCACATAGAAGAGCAAGCATTGCGATGCACCTATCCGACAGCGGCATTACTTGCGTTCAACTAGGTCATCAGAGATGGCGGCAGTCCAGGCTCAAGTGCAGATGATACACCAAGCCAGGCCAGGACAACGAGTGTGACAACACAAGGAGCGGCGAGGGGTGATAGGTATTCTATATCGTGGAGAGCGGATGAGAGGATGAGTGACACCGATGGTAAGCAATGCTGACCAGTCAGCGAACAACGGCCAGCGTGCGACTATCCAGTAATTGGCGAGCGGCGAGCCTCGCTCACTCAGGACGCGCAGATGTGGGGACACTGAGCGGAGAACAAGCTGAATGCTCCACACGTTGAATATGGTGCGTGGTTGTTTCTGTTTCTGAGTAGGGCGAGGTCTCAGATTCGCCGTGCAAATGCTAGGACATGACAATCGGCACCGCGTCATGTCTGGGATCGCCTTCCTCACACGCATCGTTTTCACCATCTTCGTAGTCATATTTGTCCCTCGTCATTTCTGACGATGCGGTTGCTGCGTCATGCCAGTGGCGTTCAATTCTTCGAGAATTCGGCACAAGCACCGACTTCATCAAGCGCCTGGTGGTCCAAAGCCGCTCAGGCAGGATCACGCTACCGCGAGAGTTCATACAAGTGCGATTCTACGTGTATTCGGCGGATCAACGATGAGCTCCAATACCCGGGAACAGCATGGCTTCAGTGTCCAGCATCGTCGACTTCGTAGCGCCGCTTCAACATTGTTGGCTCTCGATGACCAGCGTGAAGCTTTGGTGAATCAAAGCTCAGCAAGAAGCCTCACTTCAGACGTGCGGTGGCGCGGTCACTGCCAGTGTCCTCGGACGATGTACGGGCGCGGGCGAGAAGGTGCTTCGCTGCCTCGCAAAGATGGTGATCCTGGCCCTCTAAGGGAGGCCTAGACATGCCATCTTCCCGTCTGCACTCATGATCAACGTGGCAGAGACACGGTAGGCAATCCTCCTCAGACGAGCGGCATAGCTGGCTCAGGAGCCAGCAAGGTCACTGTAGAATCCTTTCATCATGCACTAGCAGTGGTCCTCAGCACTAGTACTCATCTCCGCATACCCTGATGTATAGTGCAAGGCCCAGGAAGAGCCCGGCCACGTCGACGGCCGTGACCACCCCCAACGCCTCACGAGACGAGAAGGGCCTGCTCTTCGGCACTCAGCCCACGTCGCCTCGGGGGACTTCACGATCAAGGAAAGCTAAACTGGCACGAAGAACGCCGCAGTCATATTGAACACATATGTACTCCGCGCACCATGGTCCCGAGAGACATGCTCATTGCTGACCCGGACCAGTTTTGTGAGTCTCAGACATCAACGACAGTACCAACAATACCGAGTCTGTAAACCATGGTATGGCTGTCGCCGGGTACGAATTTCGGTCCGCCGTCTGGCGCATGCCGCGAGCTTGCGGCATGGTAGCTAGCCACTTGAAGGAGGGTTCAGTGGCCTGTCCAGAACTCTCGCCTCAGGACCTTTTCTGTATCACACTGGTGCACGAGCAGGTGTTGCGAACTTGTTTGGCTCACTCGTCAACTTTGATCAACCATGCAGACATATTGTTTTGCCAGTAGTGTGTAGTGGGGATACATAGAGAAGCAATATAGACTTTCAGGGAGGAGCAGCGTCAGCAGGGAATATGCAGCGCAGTAGATGTTGAGAATCGGGCTGCAGGGAGGGGTTACGTCGGTCGGTCATACGCTTACGGTGTGCGTACTAGTAGAACAGCGAGGTCTATAAGGAAACCGGACGAGAGGCAAGATTGCCAATTGGTGCATCGGAACTTCAGGTTTCCAATCGTGTCTACATGCATCCTGTTCGATTCCATCATCGCTTCACAGTAGCTACAGAAGCCAGGTAATCTACATCTCACCCACTCTCATGCGGTCGTTGGAACAATACAACCTCTCCGTAATACTATTTCATATAGGCACGCGACGTGTTTCTCTGCGGTTGGAATGTCAGTAAGTGGCACAGAAGGCAGAAGGAGAACGCACCACAAGAGATGTATTATCACACTTGGGTCACCTTCGCGGTGTCCACCGTTCCGGAAGCGATCCCCGCCTCTACCTCGGTCCCGATGTCTATGAAGCGTTGTTCAAGAGCGGCCACGGCTTGGGTACTGAGGGTGATGAGGTTGTTCTCACGGAGCTTCTGCAGCGCGCCCATGGCCCACGTACGACAAGTTGTGCCGTGGGTCCTATTGTCTCTGACGGTGGTGTAGGTCTCAGGGAAGATAGTCGAGAACAAGGATACGTAGTCGTACGGCATCCGTGGCGCGACGAAGGCCGATACTCTGATGAATGCGAGGTTCAGGTTCATGCCCCTCGTCATCTGAGTTACCGGATCGATGAGGGAATGGGTGTAGACTTCAACGGGATCAGAGCTTCCGCGACGGCGGCTGTCCTGCGACCAATGGTGACGAGTGGCCTTGCCTTGTGCATCAGTGATGAAGAGCGACCAGTGAAAGCCAGCAAGGAGTTGGGTGAGGCACATGTACAGGGAGTTGGCCTCGAGAGGAATGGTAGGATTGCCGACTGACATGGTCCTACACGAATGCGTTCTTCCAACGTGACAGAGTGAGGATTGGGATGCATACGTGGGGATCGACCAGACTTACCTGCGGAAATGAAAGGGCTCTTGGGGTGAGAGGAATGGTCAGACTGTTGTCCTCTTATACTCTAGATGGGTTCGTGAAGACGCCGTCGGCTGTGATACATAGCATCCGTGGGCATCGCGAGCATCAGCCTCCCCAGAGGCAAGTCAGCCGATAGAAGCGTTGTTGAGCGACCCGAAGAAAGCAGCACAGAACCTATGAATCATATTGGCTAGGATAGTACTAGTCATGGAAGCGGCAGTGGTTCTGAGAGTCCGCAGGATGCTAGAGGGGAGGTTCCGTGTGTAACAGAACCCACGGATCCGCACCTGGGTCGACACTCAGTGTGGGCCCAATGACTCGCCTGATCACCGTTCGCATCGTGACACGACGGATGACACTGTTTCCGACGGATGAGCTTCTTGTGAAAATATACAAAGAGCGTGTTGAACGACGCACCATGAGCGCATGAGCCGCAGTAGTGCTACATGCAAGAGACGTCCCTTGCTTCAACTTCAGCGACTAGGACCCGCCGCCGCGGCGACTCCCGACAACTGCTACTGCAGTCACGGTGAGATCTTCGAAAGAAAAACTATATCTGTCAGAGAATCGAGTAAGACGCGCAGTATATCACATCGAGCACCTACTTGCAGATGAGCACATGCCTACCGTGACCCCAGATACAGAATATGCGCACTTTTGTCGTCCTATACACAAGATCCTCTTCATATTGCTCGTTTCGAGCTCTATGACTCGCATGCCGAAGTACGGCATACCTCGAATGTCGTCTATCAGCACGCGCCGAGAAGATAACCAGTCAGACTTGTTCTGGTTCTAGCGTCCTAGGATTGTGGTTCACGTCCGACGCCCAATGGGATCCACAGCACGATGTTTCCGAACACATACTAGTAGTACAGCCACGGATGCGTCGACATTACCAATTGCAAGCTTTCAAACCTTGTAATAACGAGAAACAGGTCTGAATGACTAGGGCTGCGTCTGCGCACCTTTCCTTGTTCTGAGGCGTTGTCACTGCAAGTTAGGGCAACGGAGTTACGGAGGATTTCTTTGCCCTCCGGCTCTCGTCACCTCCTATGTCGCAACTTTCCGGGCAGACTTTAAATGAGCGAGGCATTTAGATAAGTTAGTACTAGTGCATACAGCGCGCGTGCCGAGGTGACTTAGTGACATGCGTGTATTTGAACGCGAGGCGGCGCCACGCCGCGGCCACGGCCGACCTACTTAGCACGACGCTTCTGCCAGTGCGTGGTTCCCACGCCTCATCTACCGAACGCTTACATAATAGAATACCAACGGCCATCACTACTACTATTAGTAGGCCCTGGCGCACAAGTTGCTTGCAAGGGTGCACCATGTTGGTGAGTGCTTTCCATTCACCCTTCTTCTATGCTCAAGACTGACGGTTTCTGAAGCGACAGCTCCTTTTCCTATTTACATAT